AGGGGGCCAGCAAGGTGCCTGCAGGCTGGAGCCTGTGCTCTGTGAGGAGAAGCAGAAGGTCTGGGACGTAGCCCAGAGAAGACACAGCTTTGGTTGAACTTGTGTGCCAGTACCTATAAGAATGTTGTCAGGAACACAGAACCAGGCTTTTCACAGTGGGGCAGGGTAGCAGAATCAGTCAGTTGGCACAAGATTGGCAAAACTGGATATATGGAAAACTTTTTTTCATGAGGCAGTCAAGCAGTGGAGCAGGCTGTGTGGTTTCTCACAATCCTGGGAGATTTTCAGTACCCATCTGCAAAAACCCCCAAGTAAACTGGTCTGACCCCATAGCTGATCATGCTTGGAGCAGGAAGTTGGACTGCAGACCTCCTGAGGCCCCTTCAAACTTGGGTTGTGCTTCAATCCTAATATACATGAGTTTTGAGAGATCTAGCCTGTTGGTATTCCACGGGGAGAGTGGGTAAGAACTGGATTTTGTACTTTCACGTTTAGGGCAGTCATATGATGAGGGAAATCTTTCTTTATTTGATGCACTAAAATTTTTTTAATAGGTTGTTTCTTGAGTTACGTATTTTGGATACATATTTACATTTCTTTATGTTTAAGAAGTGCCATAAACTTTTTCATTTTTAACCTACATCTTCTTTTCAACCACATTCTGATTTAATGTGCTTCAGCTGCCAGATGCATATATAAAGGGTGGCAATTTCAGTGTCTGCCCTTGTTCTGGACAATGAGTGGCTGTGATTTGCTGTCTGGACATGGGCCCCCTTGGACTGTATCTCACTTCTTTTGGGTACATTTTATCTAAAAGTGAATTCCAGATGTTAAAGGATGTATTCAAGGTCCTGCAGGCTGCTGCTGGCAGAACAGAGAAACAAGAGTGGCTCTCAGGGTGGCTGGCCGGCCGTACTGACAAGCTTTTCTGTCAGATCATTTGACTGGAGGGAAACAGATGCATTCTACTCCCTTGTAGTTATCATAATGTTTTTCTTCTGAGTCAGGTTAGTACACCCCTAATGTGAAGAGGTGGCAAATAAATCAGTGCTGAGTTTTTTTTCTTTTTAAAGAAAGATCCACAATCTTAATGTTCAAGTTCAGGAATACACTTTACAGAAGGGCACTCAAGGATATGCCTTAACAATCTGAGTGTGACTGATGCTTTTTCCTTGCAGTATGTGCATATTGGAAGAGGCAGGTTCAGAGCTTCCAAAGCAGCGACAGAAGTAGTCTTAAATGTTCCTGAAACTAGGGTGAGTCCCCTGGAAAATGGCTTGCAAGTAGCTTCTGAAGACTCTGGACTCTCAACATGCACAGTAGGTACCTTGTAAAGGGAAGATCTTTGTAACTGCTCATGTGTGTTCATTTCCTAAATTCCATTCTTTCAATGCTTGTTAACAATTGTTTCTAAAACTTCCACTAGAAAATGGAACTCTTCAGGCTTTTGTAAATGAATTGTGATTAGATTTTTTTTGGTGAAGATCAACTTTTTTTTTTCCTCAAAAACCTGCTTTGTTTAATGAAGAGTCATTTAAAAATAGGTCTGGAAAATCTATGTGTAGTTCATACCTCAAACCAGCAAAGCTGCATTGTTAGCTATTAAAATTATTGCATTTTTATTTTTGCCCTAATGAGGTTGGACTCTGGATTGATGCTGGAAGCAGGTATGAAAATGAGAAGAACAATGGAACTGCTCACTTCCTTGAGCATATGGCTTTCAAGGTGAGTATGAGTCTTGATGTAGAAGTCTGCAATGGACTTCTAAGTTATTTATCTTTACAGATCAATTATAAGAACATTGTCAGAATTGTATAAGTAAATTTTACAAATTGAAGAGAGAAGGAGAAAAAAGTGGATAACTTAGGCTTTGGTTTCCATTAGAAAGTGAAGCTAAAGTCCTAGTTCTGTGTAGTTGACACAACTAGAGATTAGTAACACATCTAATTTAACTCGCTTATAACTTAGTGTAGTAGTCTTGGAAAACATGTAGTCTACTTCTTGACAGCTGTTTATTTTCCTTTGGGACCATAGTAGGATTTGCATCTTGACTTTCAAGCTTGGAGAGATTAGCATGCCAGTTTTCTTTCTCTAAGACCTTTTCTTTCTCTTCACCTTGACTTTTCCAGTCAAGAAGTATTAATGATGAGTAGGTGAATGAAAGGGTCAAGTTTAATTTTCTCTTTGTTTTATTCCAGGGAACAAAAAAGAGATCTCAGTTAGACCTTGAGCTAGAGATTGAGAACATGGGAGCTCATCTGAATGCATACACATCCAGGGAACAAACCGTGTATTATGCAAAGGCTTTTTCAAAAGATTTGCCAAGAGGTAACTGCTGTTATTCATCAGAAAAGCAGCAAAGAACGAAGTGCTTATCCAGCTCCCAATGAGGTGACACAGAATAAAGCTTTTGCAGCATAACAGTCCCTTCCTTCCTGGGTGAAAAGTCCTTTCTTGACCTTCACAGGAATGTGAGAATTCAGGTTTGGAAAGGAGAACTAGCAGGGAAGTTGATACCTGACACATTTTGTCTTTAAAGTCTCAAAGTAAAATACCTTTTGGACTTCTCCCTTCCTGCAAAGCAACTCTTTTGTCCCCTTGTTAATCTTGTTAGCAAATCTTGAGCCACTTGGTCTTTGGGGTGGGTTTTACTTTTGGAACCAGAATTTACTGGTAGTCTGAAAACATACTTTCCATTCTTGTTTCTATTTTCAATTAGCTGTGGAAATTCTTGCTGACATAATTCAGAACAGTACTCTGGGAGAAGCAGAGATTGAGCGTGAGCGAGGAGTTATACTTCGAGAGATGCAAGAGGTTGAAACCAATTTACAAGAAGTTGTCTTTGATTACCTTCATGCTACAGCTTATCAGAAAACAGCCCTAGGACGGACAATTTTAGGACCCACTGAAAACATCAAGTATGTCCAAATTTGTGGCTGTCTTTAACTGCGTGGTAACATATATTGAAAAGATTAATCTGAAAAATGTAGGGAACAGTGTCCGTTTTCATTTTTACTTGGAAGGTAGCTGAAATTGCACTCTATAACTGCAAGAACTCCTTAATTAATTCCTCTGTTGCCTTAAATCCCCTGTTATAGGCATCAAAGGGTATGTGAACTTCAGATGTCTACTTCATCTCTTCAATGCTGTATTTTTCTCCTGTTTATTAAAAATGCATTTGACACAAAATTGGAAATGTTCCTTTTCCCATCAGTAGTGTTGGGCATTATTGTAAATACAGCTGTGTTTGCACTCTCTTTCAGCATTTGTTTACACCAGTGCAGAGCAGGGGACTGCTAAATGTGCTGTTCTCAAATGGGCATGAGATCATTAGTGGATCCCGTCTCCCCTCGGCTGAGTTGTAATTCTTACTCCTTCTCAGGAAGCTAGAAGAGCTTTGAAAGGCAAAATATATCAAGTTCCTATTCATTTTTAGGAAGCCACCCTTATTTTAGCTTTCTGCTTCTGCACAGCTTTGTGAATTGGCAGCACTTAAAATTATTTTGGTATAATACTGTTCTATAAATTTAGCTCTTTTTCCTCTAATAAACTTAGACTGACTCAATAGTGGTGTTTCCTTGACTGTTTCTAGATCCATAAACCGTAATGACTTGGTCGAGTACATAACAACACATTACAAAGGACCCAGAATGGTTCTGGCTGCTGCTGGAGGTTAGTATGGAATATTCACCCTAGATCATGTGGAACTGTGCTTAGAACAATGGTCTTTAAGTTTCTGTGATTTACATGATGAATTGTCCATTGTTCAGTAGGTCCTGAAAGTTCATTGTTAGCCCTGCAAGGGTTACCCTTTGAACTTTTGTTCCTTTCTCCCCTCAGCGATATTCCAGAAACATTCTTAAACCAGTAACTAGAAGTGAATTGGAGGCCAAGGTCATTCTTCCACGTGGGCAGGAAAAGAGGGGCCTAGAAGGGGTTCAGTGTGAAAAGGGGAATAGCAATGAAAGCACAAAAAGAGGAATAGGATTGAGCATTGAAACTGAGAGCAAACAGCTTGATTTGGTGTGATATTAATAGAAGGCTATTGAAGAGAATTAAGGAGGGTCATAATGATGATCTTACTCTGTGCAATAAGGAGGTGTGAGGAATCTGAAAGTGTGCCATAAAATGGGGTAACAATAAATTACAGCTTGGTTGAGCCTAAACTGCACATCAATTTAAATGAACTGTTTACAGAATGACACTACAAAGTATGTGAAATCTCTTTGTTCAGGGGTCTGTCATGATGAGCTACTTGACCTAGCAAAGTGCCACTTTGGGAACTTGCCATCTGCTCCTGAAGGAGGACTGCCACCCCTGCCACCTTGCAGCTTCACAGGTAGTGAGGTAAGCTGTTAGGTGGCTTTTTGAGCTGACCCTTATATTCCCTGTAAGCACAACGGACCTGTAGTACCCTCTCTGTGTGGCATTAGGCTTGCTGTTGGCCAAGTGCTCCAGAGTTGCCACAAGGAAGACTAGTGAAGGCCAACATCAGATAAAACTTCACATGCTTTCATTTTTGGTGCTCTGTGTGCATTCTTTATAATCCAGATGTAATAGAAATGTCTGTCTCCTGATGTTTTGACTTTCTGAATACATTAGTGTGTACAGGTTGTGCTGCAGCTACTCTCATGTTCCCACAGATCCGTATAAGAGATGACAAGATGCCTCTGGCACACCTGGCAATAGCTGTTGAAGCAGCTGGCTGGTCACACCCAGATACAATCCCACTTATGGTAGCAAATACTCTGATAGGTAACTGGGATCGTTCCTTTGGAGGAGGCGTGGTGAGTGAACCTGCACCTTCCTGCTCTTAATGAGGCTGGTGAGATCTCTCCAACTTGGCTACTGCCAGTACAGACCCATTCAGACCTGTCTGATGGTGCTACTGCTGCTTTGTGGCTGTTTTTGAAGGTTCTTTTTTGGAGTAGGAGAGGGGGATACAGTTGTGAGTCAGAGAGAATTTGTTGCCTGGGATCTAGGAATATCTTAGGAAGTGGTTCTGAACCATCTAAGTAGATTTGACTTGAAGTCTGCCAGCCCTCATAGAAAGCAGGGTGTTTCATACCTGTATGTCGTCAGAACCTGTGGGTGTTGGTAACTGTCCTTTCCTTGAACCATCACACCTGATGATTTTGGCTTAAATTGGGGCTGTTACTTGGAAATGTGGAATTACATGCAAGGAAAGGGAGTGTTGAGATAAGAGCTGAAGCTTGTAGCTTCTACTGGAGTCTGTGATACTGCTGCATGTTCTGTCGTCATTGAAATGAAAACAGGAGATTATGGAGATGACTGGTAGGCTTTCAAAACACTTAATAAAATATATTTTTTTCCATGTCAGCAGAATTTGTCCAGTAAACTTGCTCAGATTGCCTGCCATGGTAACCTGTGTCACAGCTTCCAGTCCTTCAACACCTGCTACACTGATACGGGGCTGTGGGGACTCTATATGGTCTGTGAGCCATCTACTATACAGGACATGGTGCACTTTGTTCAGAGAGAATGGTAAGCTAACAGCTGCTTCTCTAAAAATACTGTTTTCAGAGGAGGAATACAGCTATACATAAAAAAGCAGTCATTTAAAGGGAATATTTTTGTTTCTCTGCTTAGTCTTGCCTGGAAGAAACAAATGCATTAAACGGTAAGTGCAGTCAGTTTCTGGCAGCCTTACTTGGAGTGAATAGCTGAAGGTTTATGTTTGCTTTTCTTTTTCTGCCCTGGAAGAATAAATAGTAACGGTAGTTAATACAGTAGGATTCCTTGTACAGGAAAATATGGCAGTGATGGTTTTTTTTACTTGCAAGTGACAGGAAAATGCATCAAACCTTTTCAAATACTCCTAAGTCAGCAGTATGCAGTGCTCCTGAGCTGCACATTTGGCAACTGAAGAAGTATTAATGAATGAGAGTAATGAACATGCAGTTCCCTACAAACACCATTAGTCGTTACCCACTCTGCAGTTGCCATCCCACGTGACCTACCAGGTGGTGGTGTTAACAGAGCTCTAGTGAGTACGTGGGAAAGTCAAATGATGTAAGGCAGATGAGCTGCTACATGGAATTTTAGGTTGGAAGGAACCTTAAAGATCATCTAGTTCGAACTGCCCTGCATGGGCAGGGACACCTCCGACTAGACCAGGTTGCTCAGAGCCCCATCCAGCCTGGCCCAACTTCCAGGGATGAGGCATCCACAACTTCCCTGGGCAACCAGTTCCAGTGTCTCGCCACCTTCACAGTAAAAAAATTCCTCCTAAGGTCTAACCTACATCTCCCCGCTTCCCATTTTAAGCCATTACCCCTTGTCCTCCAGCTACAAGCCCTTGTAAAAAATCCCTCCCCAGCTTTCCTATTAATATTCTAGGTATTACCTATTCTAGGTAATATTAATTCATCTGAGGCTTAAATATAAATTTAAAAGCTGTGCACAGATGCAGTTGTAATGCTTGAACTGCAGATGACGTTAGAGGCAGATACATGTTATGTAAGAATACTGATTTAAAGTGGGTTAAGTTGAAACAAAAGGTGAAAGAAAACTTGAAAATGAGTTTAATTACATAGATCATTACCCCATTATTCTATGAGGTCTCTGTAAACACCTTGTGGAGAAAATGGCATGATTTTAGCTGTCTGTTTGCTTGAGCTTAGCACCAGGGAAGGCAGGAACCATTCCTGTGACAAGATGTGGTTAAGATCTCCAATGCATCCCCCTGTCCTAGTGAAATGGTGGTGTATAATTATCTTGCCAAGAGCCAGGAAGTAATGGACTGCTTTCTGGGCTAATTACTGCTAATTGTTTTGTCTTCTGCTATCTTAGTAACAGCTATGCTTGAGATAGCAAGTATGGACTACATTTGGCTTAGAAATTTCATGTAATAAAATGAAATACAGCTCTAAAGGGAAAAACTTGCTCTTGGGTGTATTGGGGTGCATCCAAAAACCTCTACTCTTATGCTGCTGCTTTGCATCCTATTGCTTGTTTCCATACCAAATTCTCTTGAACTGCTCTGTCTATGGGAAACACATGCCTGGTATATGCACCTCATTATCATAGGCATTCTTGTATTCTACAGGTTACCATTACTTAATGCCTTTGGATTTTAACTGTTTTTCAGGATAAGACTTTGCACAAACGTTACAGAAAATGAAGTAGCTAGAGCGAAAAATCTACTGAAGACAAATATGCTGCTACAACTGGATGGTGAGACTTATGAGTGCTTTTTATTCTTAGTGGAGTTGCATCCTGATTATTGATGCATATTGATCCCATTTTAGGGTCCACACCAATCTGTGAAGACATTGGAAGACAAATGCTGTGTTACAAGCGCCGAATCCCAATTCCAGAACTTGAAGCAAGAATTGAAGTAAGTGTCAGTCATGGTACAATTTTTAAGTTAGGGCCTTAAGAAATGTCATTGCTACAGGAAGTAACAATACAGAAGTTGCTAGACTATTTTCAATGGAGAAAATTTCCAGCTGTTTTGTTGTCTGTTCCTTGCATTACACAAAATTAAGATCACCAGCTCTTAATACTGTTTTAGGATTGGTAATGAAGATGTCTCTTTACCCCTTTCAGGCTATTGATGCCCAGAATATTAGAGAAGTTTGCACAAAGTACATCTATGATAAGCATCCTGCAGTTGCTGCTGTTGGTATGTTGGATAAGTTTCCCACCCTCCCATAACCCCTCCACACCAACCAGTATCAGTTTAGCATGTGTCATGGCCAACTTTCTTTAACTTCCAGGTCCAATTGAACAACTTCCAGAATATAACAAAATCTGCAGTGGCATGTACTGGCTTCGTGAGTAGTGAATAACAAGAACTTTCAGTATGTTTGAGCTTTAAAAAAAACAACCAAAAAAACCCAACTATACCCTGTTTTAAGTTTTTGAGTGGGAGAAATACATTTGAGAAGATTAAAACTCAAGAACCAGCCAGTCCTGTGTATTTGTATAATTAAGGAAGGAATGAAAACTTGTACAGTATTTGCATTTTTATTATAAAACAAAAGATTGTCAGTAAGAGTCATTTCTTGACTTTAGTAGCATTCATCACTTGTTCTTGAGCAGCTTTCTTTGCCTTGACCATTTCAACGAGTTCCTGGAGAGTTGGAAAGAAAAAGGTACTTATCTAAATGTGGAACTTGTTAACAGTGCTGTGCTTTTGAACACCACATCTATTCAGCCTGAAACACTCTAGCTCTCAACATAATGATGAATGTAGACAGCTTAATACCTTAAAACAATTTCTTTTAGAAACAAGCAAATTAATGGAAAGGTCAATGCTCATTTACTTGCTCTTCAGCAGAAACTTTGCCTACACAAGGCTAGGGATAGGACTTGACCGTCTACAAGAACTTGCTCCCAAATTATAAGACAGACTCAGTCAGACAGACCTCCCTTCCCCGCTTCCAAAGCCACTGCTTTCACTGAGGAAAACTGTCCTGGGGTTGAGTTACCAAAAAAAAAAAGTTTAGCCATAAGGCTCCACCTTGTGATAGTTTGCTGTTGTCAGGAACTGTCTCTGGTAGTATGGAAAGCAACAGTAAAAGCAAATGATTCAGACAGACCTGGGATAATTAGTCCTCAAAGGAGGTGAGGCACCCTACCTTGTATCGTTTCATGCAGTCTTTTTTTGACCGGCCTGGAACAGCTGCTGCTATTTTCTCCCATCTTTCTGGAGTATTTACTGGATAAGTCTTTAGTGCTTGTTCTAAAAGCTTTTGTTCTTCTGTAGTCCAAGGGGATGAATCTAAAGGTGATCCTGTTTTCAAGTGCAAAAATGACAGCAAGAAAAAAAAAATAAGGTGCCTATGAGGTAAGCCTAAGAAAATATTGTCAAATCAATTACAGTTGATTTAAAATCCTTGCAGTTTTGTGATGCAACTAATCTGCAGTCTGACCTAAGGACTACCCCTACCAAAAACCTGAAAGAAATATAAACAAACCCTGAAACTGCCTGGACAAATTGTCCTTGGGATCTTTTAAATAAGTCCAAGGAAGTTAGAAGGCACCATCTTTTGTTGTCAGCCGAGTGTTGGATCACTGTACTGCCCTGTGAAGACACATCTTCAGGGCAGCAATGTAACTTTTCCTTTTGTGTTTCAATAAGGCAGCACTTGGCCTTATGCGAGTCTCTGGAAAATTTGATGGGAGGTGTTTGGGATTTAACAGGAGACCAAAGCTCAGCTGTAGGATGATTCTGTACCTCAGGTGCATCCCCTTAGGCCTACCTTTACCTGACAATGTAGCACCCTCTGAGGAACAGGAAATCTCAGCATCAGACTTTAACTGTGGCCTCACATGGAAGCATTTCAGGCTGTTACTAGTTAGTTAACTGTGGTTTGTACTGTGGGTACCAGAAATCCTCTGGTAACGGAACCCTGATCACTTTTATATTTGCTACATAAGTTTTTAAGTGAGTAAGTTTATAAGTTTTATTGCTTAGTAAGAAGCACAGGGGAGATGATTCTGCAAGAAGGGTTCCCTTTTCACCTTTACCTTCAAATCGTTCCGAGGGGGAAGCACTGTCCATCTGAGGCACCACACCATGTTCTTTTTTAAACTTGTCAAATGCTTTCTTGTTTATATCATCTTTTTGGTGAGGGTCTACAAGCAACAGACATTGAATAATTATTGCAACAAAATTAAAGCCAGATGTAATAATACCATTGTGTAGCAGATAAACCAATAATCACATAATCGCAAAAGACCTAATTCCTACTTCCTTTAAAATGATGATCAAGGGGTTGGTAGACAGAAAAAGAAATAAAACTTTTGGGGTCCAAAATGTGAGGTTCTCCAACTCCTATCCTGCTTTATACTGCCAAGATGAATACTTTCCTGTATAAGCTTAAAGCCTGAACTTGCAACTTCAGTGAAATCAAGGATTATTCTCTCAAGCAAAGGCTGTGGCACAAGCCTCACACATTACCCAGAGTAAAAGCATGACAGAGGGGCAGGAACACTGGGGAAGTGTGGATCCTCCTGCAGGGATGGGGTTTGGAATGGAGAAACTTAAAACTTATTTTATTCTTTAGTGGAATATTTTGATTTTCTTGAGAACTCACTCCAGAGCTCTCTAGGCTTTATTGACCACAAGAGGAAATAAGCCACGTTAATTTAGATGTCTTACTCTGGTACCAACTCCCATTCATCTTTTTAAAGTATCAATGCTTCATCAGTTCCAGTTATTCTAGGTGCCTTCCTCTGTACTGAGCTCCCTGGCAGGCCCTTTTGTCTCTGAGCTCAGAGAAGCTGAGGTACCCCCCCGTGGCCTGCACATCTTGCATCGAGTTAGAGAATTCCTGAGTTGCTCAGGAGATGGTGACTTGCACAACAGCCATTAGGTTGGAAATACTGCATCATGTACGTGCTCCTCTCAATCTTCAATTATTTTGGGGGATATACAGAGGATTTTCTCAGGAACACACTGCCACTCAGAAAACCAAGCTGTAGAGAAGCATGCAGACCATCTTATGGCAAAAGTAAGGAAATATAGATACCAAGCTTTTGGAGGCTCTTTGCTTTATTGATGACATCTTTTGCTGTTCGTTTTATTCCAGTAGTAGAGTGCAAGTTCATGTAATTGGCAATAACTTCCCACCTAAAGCAAGAGCAGAAAGGGTGAACCAGCATATTACATATGAGGTTTATCTTCATACCAGCTACGGTCAAGCACCTGTACACATTTGTATCAACTCCTAAGGAAGTTTAATCATACTTAAATACATATAAACCCTCATGGTAACTATTCTGGAAGGTTTTCAGTCACTAAATGCAGATGCTTCCCTTAAGAATTCAATCAGCTTAGTTGAACTTTTTGGCTCCCAATAAGGAAGGGGTAGAATATAGGTAAGTGCAAACCTCTAATCCTCAGAAGTCTGCTCAGCTGTTGGCTTCCTGGAACTCCCTCAACACCTCTGGGATGAAATACTGCAGGCTGTGCTGACACAGCTAAGAAGTTACTAACCCTGTTTCCACTGCCCCCCAGAAGAATACCTATGTATCTAGTAAAGGGGCTTCACCAGGAGAGAGTTGGAATGGGCCGAGTCCCAAAATTACTCCTAGTGCATTATTAGAAAATGGAAGGGAATATTTGCACCTGGTCAGACAGGAGGATCGTATCTAGGCCTTTGTTGTCAATGAGTACTCTTGACTGAGCTGCAGTGCAGAAACAGGTACTGGTATCATCTCCATACAGAGGATGACAGCTTGTTTTTTTTTTTAAATTAAGCATCCAAATCTTGTAATGGAGACTTCAAATCTGTGAATCCTAAGTGGAAGAAGGCATTTCACTCCTGGGAAAGAACTCAATTTAAGGCATGTGCCTGTTCATGATGCTCATATGTAAGCTGATGGCCACTACTGCTGCTTTCAGTGAATCCCAGCCTTTCCCTTTTCCCGTGGCTGTCCTCTCCCCTGAAGAGAGCTGGAGCACTTTGCTTTTATCTCGGGATGTTTTCTTTCTACCGTGTAGAGGAGAAACCAGCCTCACATTCATTGTGGACCTCCTGGAAGCAGCTTACATACTTGCATTCCTACCCATAATGTTATCAAGGTCACTTTGTTTTTGCCTGCTGCTTTAAGGACTAGAGCCTGTACTTTAGTAAGCTCTGTGCAGATGTTCATCTCTGCAAAATCCTGCTGGTGGACTGGGGCCCAAGTCTGGGGGGAAACAAGATACAAGGCCAGAGGTAAGTCCAGTGACATGTAGAGCATGGTATTAAGAGAAGACAAACCCTAGGCTGCACAACAGTCAAGGAAAATTAAGAAGTTCAGGGAGTTCTTATATTGGCATCATACTTAGGGAGATCTGAAAAGAACTTGTACTGAGATAGATTATTATTTAATTAAAAATTGTTAGTAGGGCTTTTAACACCAAACCTGTAAGTACCTCGAGTTAGTCCCTGCTGGGAAGAGGTTCACAGCTTTTATTAACAACTGTAAATCATCTTCTGGCCAATTTTTGCTTCCCCCTCCACCACCAGTGCTTGACTTCTCTGAACTCTTTGTTGCTTGGCGCATACGAGCTTCTGCCTCTTCTTTCTCTCGCCTTATTTGTTCATTTATTTCTTCTATCTGAAGGATTGTAAACAGGCTTTATTTATTTATTTTTACATTTTATGGTGACACAAACTCCTCTCTCTGGAATGGCCTTGAAGTTTGCTTAGTTTATGTTCTGTACATAACACATAAGGAAACTGAGGAGCTTATCTGCTCCAGTATTACTTCCCTCCATCCCATGCATAAATTTGGCCATCCCAGATTAGGAGCTGCAGCAAAAATCCATTAAGTTTTCTAGCAAATTAAATGAACACTCCTAAGCTTAAAGCAAAACTTCTGAATATAGTGGCAATGTCCAGGCTAACATGTGACTTACAGGGGCAGATCCACAAAAGTATGAGGAACCTGAAGTGACTGGTCAGGGCAGTTAAATATCCATGTTGAATACACTGATTTCCCAGTCTTCAAGTCAACTGCTACCTAAGCCTTGTTATGCCAGAAATTCTCAGTTACTAAGTTAGCATTACCTGGAATAACCCCCATTTTAGTCAGTAGGTGCTTATTCAGGGTTAGATGGCCATGTGTAGTTTGTTAGCAAGCAGTTCAGCAGAACTGGTTATTCACTGCACAGCTTTGTGAACTGTAACCACATCTTGAGACTGTGGTGTGACTTATCTTCAATGTATCTCCTTCTGAGTATGCCCAGTCTAGTCCTGGCAATATTAAAAAACTGTGTACTTAATCCTGTTGGCAGGATGCCCCAAATAGGTTTCTCTCTATCTGTCTCATAGTAACTTCCCTTTTGCCAGAAGATTTTATCTGATACATAATTTTTATGCATGCAAAAGTGAAACACTTAAGAGAGAGACAGAAAGGTGACTGTCCTGTGTTGGGAGGACTTTCCTGGAGACAGGGAGACTGCATTCAG